TAGGGAACCTGCTTTGGCAGGGGGGTTGGACTGGATGATCTCCTGAGGTCCCTTCCAACCCCCACAATTCTGTGATTCTGTGTTTCTTCTTCAGCTCTTGAGCTGAAGAAGAGAGAGGGATCTTGAGTCTACAGAGATCTGGGACCCACTCTGCTCCCTCTTGGACCCACACAGGGGAAGCATGGGCATCAAACTGCCCCTCTGCATCCTGGCTGGGAGACCACCTTGGTTTCCCAGCACTGCTTCTCTCCTGCTCTGAACCATCCCACACTTTGCAGATAACAAGTGTTGTTTATAGCAAGAGAGGCTTGGCCACAGACTTGGTCTCACCAGAGGTTCAACAGCTGTATGGTACCTGATTCCCAGAGTGGCTGATGTTCTCCTGGGAGGAGGCTCTGTTCCGGCGTTTCACGTGATGGGATGGGTAGGCAGGGAAGTGGGCTCCCTTCACATCCTCATCAGAGCTGTCCATATCTGCAGAGTACCGGGACTGCTCGTTCCAGGGGCTGCCTTTGGAGAGAGAAGGCTTCAGCACAAAGGTACAAGAGATTCACACCCCCGAGTTATTTCCTGGACATCAGCCCCATCCTTAAGACAAGCAAATAACGAAGCACATCTCCAAATTACACTTTCTACCGTTTGGCAGGAGATGCTTCTGCAAGGGAGACCAAGGCTAAGGATGGCTACACATTGGGTCAGGCTGTAGCTCCATCTGCTGTGGCCACACGGTCCCACACAATGCTGCTGAGATAGTGGTGGGCACAAGGAGCACCACCCTTGCTCTCTCATGGCCCAGACAACCAGGGCCCTTACCAAAAACTGTCATTACCTTCCCAATTTTATTGGAGCACAGGTTTGGACGCTGCCCTTCATGCATTGTTCAAGTGCTGGAAGATGTTTATTTCATGCTAGAGAGGTACTTGTCTAGGATAAAGCATTTAAAAGTGGAATTTCTCCTCTTTAAAGGAGAATTTCAAATGAGACAAAAAAAACACTGGAAGAATATGGAATTAACAAGCCAAGGGACCCTGCTGCTGTGTCACTCCAGAGGGGCTCAGAGCAGGAATATTAATAGTGCACAGTAAGATTTATCCAATGTTTCCTGGTGTCCTGAAAATCAAGTGCTTGAAAACTCAGCCAAGCAGTTGAAGACCCAGAAGAAGATTATATATATTTT